AAAGGTCATTACTGTAACCCAAAATCTCCAAGATCCTTTTCAATTAAAATGCTATCATTTTGTAAATCTATTTTATTTCTGTAAGATCTACACATAGCATCTTTCCCTATCTTCCTTCCTGATCAAGCTTTCATTTCTATTTTCTCTTAAACCTGTTTTTATGACTGTAACAATATTCCTTAAGTATTACTTACATATTCCTTGATTTAGAATTTGAAAAGCAGTCAAGTACCCTTGAAATCCCTTGAAAAGCTGGATCACAAGTTTAAAGCCAGCTGAGATAACACAGTATATTTGAGACCTCCTAGGCTACATGGCAAGACCCTCTCTCAAAACGAAAAGCAAATATTAAAACTGTTCTTTCTTGTTCCTTTTTCTATCCTGAAATCTATTGCAAAAGATGTTCTTCTAAAAAAAAAAATTAATGTAGCTCTACACTGAGTACTTTTTATCTTCCATGGGGTTGGGGAGAGAACATCTAATACATAAAACCAATTAGGTAGTTCAGAACCTAAATCGTTTGTTTGGGGTACAAGATGTGAATTCTAAAAGGCAACACATATTATTAGAAAATTTAAGAGAAATAAGGGTAGAGGAGTAAATCTTACTTGTCTAAAAAAGCAATAACCAAACATGAGTGTAAGTATATGTGTACATATTTACATACACTTTAAAGACATGATTTTTTAAGATGCCTACTAAGTAACTCCAAATCAATACAGCATATAAGGAAAAGGAAATCCTTACTTATTTATTTATTTATTTATTAAACCTCAAACCAATTTTCTACTTTTAGTAGCTCTGGGAAAAGAACTAGGTATAAGAAGTTGATTCTACCAGCTTAAGTTTTTAAATTAAATATAAATTTCAGTTATGTTCATTGGTCCCTATTTGTACCAGTAATGAAGAACTGGCCCTTTCATCCCTATTCATACTATATCCCCAGGCTTTACACTTTAATTACCTATAGAAGTAAAGGAATTGGGTAAGTCTCAAGTTCTTGAAGGATCAGCAATATTTTATCAAGTCTGAACTACCTTGGTGGGAAAAACTGAAATAAAAATGTTAATTTGCAATAAAAATGACAAAGAAATATCCATCTACCAATCAAAAGACTTACAGCATGGTAAGTCAAATTGCTGGCTTCTCCAAGTTAATTACAGATTTAGACACCAATAGTCCCTACAAGCTCTAAACTCTTTTAATTTATTTTTGCTAGTATTGGGGTTTGAATTTAGGGTACTGTATTTGCTAGGCAGGCACTCTAACAACTTGAGCCACTTTGCCAGCACTCTAAATTCTTTAATGAGATGTAACTCATGAAATTCACTTTATTCAGGGATCCTTCGTAACTAGAGGACATTGTAAAACCAATGACAAAACTACTATTCTCACTTAGTTAAAATAGAGAATGTTCTTAAGCCAAAAATAGAGTTTAAGTTTGTGCTCAACTTAAAATAATGTTTCTACTTTTCCTTCAGTCAAACAATGAATCCCAATAAGCAAACAAACAAAAAGTATGCAGAGGGTACATGTATTTAATTCCTACAATGATAGGTCTAGAAATCAGGATTTTCAGATGAAGCCAAAGCACAGAAACACATTCTGCTGAACATATTACCAAGGAAAGAGAGGTTCTCATTTCATAAAATTAACTATGAAGCGTCCCAGCTTCAAGAACTGGTTTCCTTCGACTTACCTTGTATGATTTTTTTTGTTTCTCTTCTATCCTTATCACTTAGTCCTTCCCTATCTCCTGAAGAGTAAAATGAAGATGGATGGTAGAGAATTTTAACTTGTCTTTGAACTAGCCATGATATTCTGTCAAAAGTAATTAACATTTTTCTTCAAGTCTTCATAATATTTGTCAATGAGCATATTCTCACTAATATATGGAAGCTAAAAATTTGCCTCAAAAAAATACATAATAGTGGGTACCAAAACCAGGAAAGGCTGAGGAAGAGTTAGGGAGAAGGTAACAGATACAGGGGTACAGTTAGATAGAAGAGGTAACATCTAATATTCTGCATCACAGTGGAATAATTATGGTTGGCAACAATTAACTGAATATTCAAAATAGCTAATTGAGAGGATTTTGGATGATCCCAACACAAAGAAATGATAAATGTCTGAGGTGATCCCTGATCTGATCATTATACAATGTATGCATGCATTGAAATGTCACACTAAACCCATAAACATATACAATTACTATGTGTCCATTAGAAATAAAAATATACCTTAAAAAAGTTTGTGAGTATTAAGGGCAAATAATTTTCCATTAATTAAATAAGGACATTCTCATGGAAAGAAAATATGAAATTAAAAAAAAATAAGCTGGGCATGGTGGTACATGTCTGTATTCCCAGCACAAGGGACGCTGAGACAGGAGGATTGAGAGTTTGAGGCCAGCCTACCATACATAGCAAGACCCTGTCTCAAAAAACTGAGGAAAAAAGTATATAGGGACACAAGATAATATATTTATCTCAAGTCATTTTACTATTTGGTATTCCATTCCTAATGTCTTTAAAAAGCAAAGCAAAAAGAAGACAGAGCAATTTCATTAGCTTCATTAAAACGATTCCAGAACATTACTCCCAATTCCAAATTGCTATTTTCTCTATTTTCTTTTATACCTTCAAAAAGCACCGTCAAGACCCTGCTATGCTAAGGCAATAGGATAAAATCTGCAAACTAGGCCAGGTTAATTGCGCTGACTTGTAGATTTCTGGCCTTTGTAATATGGTTGACAGTTTTTGAAATGATTGAGCTGATCTATTGGAACATTAACTACATCTTTGAGTTTCAGGAAAAGTAAGTACATAAAGTTTGATTGCCCTATACACTTAAGTGGAGCTCCTACACCATGTCAACTCATTAAGTAAAAAATTTACCCATGAAAATAAAGAATAACCACATGTACTGGGGGTGCTTGGCATACAGTAACCATTTCAATATATATTTATTTGTAAAATAAAAGCTAAAAAGTTGTACCTCCCTGCAAAATCCGTTCTCTGAGGCATGTGAACTAGCTTAGCACCTACCTGCTTCAATATTCTGCCTTCTTGTTCACTGATAAAGATTAGACCCTTGATTCCCAAATTTTATGTAATTTTAGAATCACCTGGGAAACTTGAAGGCAAATTCCTTGATGCTGCATACCAAAAATTATAGTCCCAGAAGCTGGATTCTGCATTTATAACGCACCATTCAACTGAATCCGAGGTCAGAACATTGCCTTACCTTCATGATTGGTAAGGAAGAGGAAACCTCTGGATTATAACAGATGTTAATTAGAGCACAGAAGAATTGACTATTTCTACCCTATCCTAAATTACAAGTTACTCAGAGCTCTTAACTACAATTTGCTTACTAGTGCTTAACAGACAAGATGAAATATGAAATAACTTTTGCTTTGACAATGCAAACTTTCATTAAGTTCACCAAAAATAGATATTTTTCTGAAATATCAGTTATTGCTTATGTTTAGAGAGTAGGAAAAAAGCAAGTTAAGGATTGTATGGCTGAGAAGCACTTATATAACTGTGCTACAGGAGTTTTAGGGGAAAAGTCTCATACTCAAAATACTGACTAGATTACTGTGCAGTCAATATGGGAGCCATTGGTCACGTGCAGTCACTTAAAATTAAATAAAATTTAAAATTCAGTTTCTTGGTTACACTAACCATACCTTAACTGCTCAATAGTCACCCATAGCTAGTGGCTAACATACTGAATAACATAGAAATTCTACTAAATAGGATAGAAAAACATTTCTAATGTTGCACAAAGTTCCATTGGATAGTGCTAGTCTAGAGGTAGTAGGTATCTAGATAAAAAAATGTAATCTAGGTTCTCCTGATCAGTAGGCTCTGTCTGGAAACTTCCAGTTTTACATGTATACATCTACTTTAGTATTAACTGTAAAAGAAGAGCCCTAGCATAATTCTTCTTCAACTTATTTCAAGAAAGGTCATTCATAAGTGACAAGCTTATTTATCTTACATTACCAAAATAGAAATATTTAATTATAAGGTCTGAAAGTATCAAGGCACTAAAACTACAACAGGGTTTTCACCAAATTAGAATCAGTAAAAAGTATTTAATTACTAGAAAACAAAAGGTATTGGAATAAGGCTGGTTCCAAAAGATCAAACTACTTAAGAGAACTAGTTTTTCAAGTACTTTATAAGTATATTTATATGTATAACAAATAACAACTGTTTTTATAATTGATTTAAAAATAACCTGACCACAATTAGTTCAAATTAGTGTGACATTTTACCGTATACCCTTTTAATTTCTTTCCACCAACCACACACTAAGCATCTGTGAATAATATAATGACTGTAATTTTATAAGTGAAGGACTATTAATTCACAATCTTGAGCAAATCCTGATTGTAGCAAAAAGTAGACATAAAAGTTAATGAAACAATTTGCAACTTAAAATTTCTACCTCTTAACTGCAACAGTATCTACTCTATCTAGTTTAAAACAATCCATTATAATAAGAAAAAAAAGCATGGGGGGATAAGATGCTGAAGCCTGATAAATAACTTCCAATTTAAAAAAAAAAAATGAGCCTTATTACACAGTAGAGGGAATACTTCAATACACTCACAACTATATACCAATTAAACTTAAACCTATTTTCTCTTAAGAAGAGATAAATATTATTTGACTAAGTGCACTCAAATATTATCTCTAAATTACAGAGGACAATTATGGTTCTAATCAGAAAAGTTTTTTCTATGGAAGAATTTTTTTACTTTTTTAAAAAATCTGACACATAAAACCAAATACTAAAAGCTACAAAAGTAAATAGGTTACACTGATTACTACAGTGCTAAGGTTGTTAGTGTAATATGGTTTGGCTTTGATTCCTTATCTGTTTACTTCAGAAATGTGTATCAAACCTAAGAGCGAAAGAAAACAGTAATTGATCATTACTAATCACTGGTTAAAAAGTACTTAAGGAGAAAAGATGTAACTTACCTGCAACGCTAGTGATTGTTACTGGAACTCCCTGCACTTGAACGCCTGCAGCACCCAGGTTGGCAACACTCACTGTTTGAAGGTTAGGCACTGATGCAAGCTGGGCAGTATTCAAAGTTATTGGGGCACCAGCAACAGCCACAGGAGCAATCTGAGCAAGAGTTGTGCCACCACTTGAAGACACTGGGGTGATGGTTAACTGTTGGGATAACCCAGCATTCTGAACTTGCAAATTTGAAAGACTCTGAATATTCTGAACTTGTACAGTTTGCCAACTGATTTGCCCTGAAGGTGTTAAAGTTGGAGCCCTGATAAGCACCTGAGTCGGATTTACTGCTTGAAGTTGAACATTCTGCAAAGGCTGCTGCTGGATGGTCTGAATTGTCTGCCCTGACTGGAGTTGAAATGATTGTGGTGGTATAGCCTGAATAATCTGTTGCTGAGGCTGTTGGATCTGAATCTGTTGTAAAATAGGCTGGCCTACAATCTGCACTTGCTGAAGAGAATTTGATTGATCCTGTGCATTCTGTATTCCATTGGGCTGAAGCTGACTGGAGCTCTGGGCTTCAGACTCAGTAGCAGCAGGTGTTTGCGATTCTTCAATGGTGCGTTCGGAACTACTGGCTGATGTGCTTGCATACTGGCCCGTATCTGCTGAGCTCACTAATGTGTCACTGCTTGTCAGAGATGTTGAAGCGGTGGTTGTGCAGGTAGTGGAGGAGGAGGGAGATTCCGGCATAGTACTGGCAGAAGCAGTGGTGGTGGTGGGTGTGGAAACTAACTGATTCCCATTGGAAGTCCCACTATCAGTAGTAGTAGCAGGCTGGCCAACTTGTCCAGTCCCTCCTCCAGCAGTCACATTGTTTATCACTGGCAAAGCTAAAGTCACTCCTCCAATGTTAATTGGAAGAGTTGTTACAACTTGAGCCTGAGTACCAGGAAGGGTCTGTAATTGCAGTGGTATTGAAACACCAGGTCTAATTTGGACTGGAACTGTCTGATTTGCCAGGTTTTGAGCAAGAATATTTCCAGAAGCTGTCCTGTTAGCAGCCGTGAGTATAGCTTGATTATTACCTGCAGAAATTAGCTGAATTTGACCCTGCAAATCCTGTAGAGATGAACTACTAGTTGGATTGATTTGAATTTGTTGACCTTCCACTGTCTGAAGTTGTGGTATCACTTGGTACTGTACACTACCACTTGGATTTTGTACTTGTATAACTTGAAATTGACCAGGGGTGGAAGAATTACCTGATTTAGTTTTTGTAGGAGATGCGCTCCCGTTATTACTGCTGGAAGAACTAGGAGCACTAGAAGCTGGTTGGGAAATGTTATTTTCTTTTGAAGCAGGAGGAGTGGAGGCAACAAGTTGCCAAGCGTTTCCAGCAAGTTGCGTTGTTACCAGTTCTAGCTGTTGTGGCTGATTTTGAAGCTGCACCAATCCTTGGCTTGGATCTATAATAATCTGCTGTTGTCCAGTTGCTTGATTTTCACCAGGAGTCCCTATTTTGCTGCAAGTAGCTGCCAGTAAAGCCAGAGGAGAGGGCTGAGAGTCCTACCCAAAATGGGATGGTAAAGGAGAAGGGGGAAAAAAGTGGGCGGATTTAGTGGAAACCAGTAGTTGGAAGGGGTTATTTATTTATTTACTTTGACAGCTCTATAAATCAGAACTCACTCAGGAAGCAGCAGAAATAAAAAAGAAATATAAATAAAAGCAGGTAAAAGAGCTATATGAATAAGGAAACAGATCATATAATATAATGTTTAAATAAAAGGAAATTTCAAAGTTTCTTAAAGTGTTAGTTTTCTAAACTCAAAATGCCCTTGGGAAAATACACACTGTTTTCTTACAGTCTGAGCTCCTGATGTAATTTTAAACAACGTTACACCCTCAAATATGTGAAATCTTCTTGAATTTACAAATTTAAGTTCCTCACGCTAAGAAAGATGCTTTTGAGTGGATAGACATTTTTTATTGCTCTTTACTTCTGGGCATTATACAGGGCATAACTCCCTCTCTCTTTCCCCTAAATGTTTTGTGTTGAATTTTTTTTATATGTTTGCTTTTACCTGGGAGCCTGAGGTTTTGGTTTTTTTATTGTTATTCTCTGGCTCAGAGATTTTCCCTCCTTCTGAAGCCATCGCCGCTGCCGCCGCCTCCTCCTCCTCCTCCTTCTTCTGATCTGCAACAAACCCCCAACACACACGACAACAGGTTATCAGGATTATTATTATTCGTCTTCCCCTCCCCCTGAACATTAATCTCCATAAACCCGCGATCCGTGCACACCGGCAGGGGGTGGGGAGGAGGGAAGGGAAGAAGGGGGGATATCACAAAACGTGGTTTGAAACCCGACCCATCGGCTAGAGCAACACCCAGAAGGAGGTTGTTCTCGCTCAGACATTAAGACAAAACACAGCCCTCCTTCCCTCCCCTTGACTCCCTCCCTCCCTCTCCTCCTCCCCTTAAAGCATCTCAGCGGCCCCGGGGGAGGGGGGAGAACCGAGCAGGGTCTGGGGAGGAGGGAGGGAGGGAGGCGGTGAAGGAGACCGAGGGGGGTGGAGAATACGTACCGCTCATCCCGCATTAACAGGACAAACCCTCAGACAGAGACACTGGGATAGAGGTGGGTGGGGGTGGGGGCGAGGCGGGAGGAGAGGCCGGTCCCGCCCGCCCGCGGTGGCTCGGAGGAGGCTGTAGCTGGCACAGGCTCTGCCTCTTTTTCCGCGAATGGCCGCCGCTGGGCTGTGGCGTAGCAGCTCCTCTCTCCGCCCGAGCCCGGCTGACTCGCCCTTGATTGACAGCGGCGGCGCGCGGCGCGGGCGGCGGCGCGGGCCGGGGGCGGGGCCAGGGCGGCGCGAGCCCGGCCGACTCCCCACCCCCCTCGGCCTCTCTCCGCCGGAGCCGCCGACTCTCCACCCCTTCCCCCAGCGGATTGGCCGCCGACCTGCCGGGGGCCGGGGCGCTGGGGCCGCCCCCTCTCCACCCCCTTTCCTCGGGTTATTCTTTTCAGCCGTTTTTCTTTTCCTCCCTCGGCTCCTCTCGCGCTCTTTCTCAGCCTTCTAGCTCAGGCGTGCTGCCGGTAGGCCCTCCATACAGCCAAACTTGTTGTCTCAGGATATCCCGCCCCCTACTCATTTCCCAGCGCCCTCCACTCAGAACCCCGCTCCAGCATCACTCCGGATGGCCACTAAAGAAGATAGTAGGACTGTCGCTCAAAGGAAGCAAGAAGAGCGAGGGTGGGGGAGCGCGGAAGGCCGACAGCCCTGTGCGCTGGATGGACTGCTCGCTGCCCCCGCGCCACGAGCATGGCTTTCCTGAGGCGCATCCGGACCCGGGCGCCCTTTTTCCTTGGCTCTCTCTCCATTGGCTGAGTCCCTGCTGACGCGCGCTGAGTGGTGGGAGAAAGGGGGCGGGACATGCCGCAAAGGCTGTCGGGCCTCGTAGTTTCCTGCGGCCGCGGAGTGCCTTCCAAGGCACCGCCTTCCTCCCGCCCCCGACCGCAGCCAGGCTGCAGAGCGGAAAGCTGCCCGAGGGGGCGGTGGCGGCAGGGCGTGGCCGGGGCCGAGTGGGAGTTGAACTGAGCGAGGGGGAGGGGGAATGGGTGTTGTTTGCCTGGGCCTATCCGCCGCGCGGGGCTGCCCTAGCCACCTCTGCGGCCGCCTCCTCGGCTCCAAGCCGCTCCCCGCGAGGCGAGCTCACACCCGGAGCGCTCTGCGATTGAGCGGGCGGCGGCGTGGGGAGGCGGGGTTTGCTGTCCTCGGGGTTTGAATGAACCCGCTGCGTGAAGCAGCGCCTTCATCCTGCCTTTCTTTGCTCACTTTCCCTTCTCAGGCCCTCGCTCCGAGTCTGAGGCCTGCTCTCCCGCAGAGAAGGATGTTCGATTTTTGTCTGCTAGTGCAGAGCAATGGCCCGCCTAATAGGGTTGCATCAAGGGCCCGCATGGTCAGCGGACTTCTCCTGCCTGCAGGTCCCCCAGGCCAAGCAATGCCCAGCTCCATGCGGGTCAGCCCTGCTCATGGCTTGAGCCTAAGCGACTGGGCAAGTGCAATTCACACCAGCTGCACAAAGCATTTTATCAAATGCACTGGAGCAGACTCCTGCCCCCAGCCCTTCTCCAAAGTCCCAAAGTCAAGATGATGCCATTCATCTGATTAAGGGCACCAAAAGTAGAAGTATGTTAGGTAAGGGGACAAGACCCAAGTAATCTGGGTAAGGGGACAAGCCATCCTTACCCAGATTTTAAACCGATCCACTTTCTTTTTCCGTGGGCTCCACACGCAGCCCTGGGCGGTTTTTGTCTCCTGTCTGAGGTCTGACATGTAGCAAGGGTGAGTGAGGCGGTCCCAGGTGCTGGACTTGACTGCCATTTCCTTTGCTTGTTAAAGTAATTGTAACATCAGCTGATGACAAAGCCGTGCAGCAAGACAAAGCAATCGAAGAAAGAATTACCTAGTATCGTCTACTCCATCTTATAAAATGAGCCTAAGATTCCTAAGTAACTGCTGTCATCTGCCCACACCACCACCATGTACAATGTAGAAAGCTTAGATACATTGTCTATCCTCAGGCCGACTCCAGATCACCAGAATGAATGAAGACATTTTGCAGTCAAGAACTGGGGGGGCGTTCCTTATGGTTTCTTGCCTTAGAAAACCTGCTTCAGAGAAGTTATGTCACTGTCTAAACCATAAACTGTTCAATACAGATTTAGAACGAGTCCTAAACTTTCTTCATCCTATAGATAAGTGGACATACTGGTGTCCAAGAAACATAGTTACAAGCCCTGATTTTTATGGTGGACCAAGAACTTCTAGTTCCCACCGACTCTGAACCACAGGCCAAGGGCCTTAAGTTTTCTGCATGCTACAGGTTAAGTGGAAATACTGGGCTCTATGAAGCACAGTTACAAGCCCTGTTTTTATGGTGAACTAAGAGCTTCTGGTTCCTACCTGACATGGATGGAATGTTTGTGTTCCCTCCCCCAATCCATACATTGAAACTCTGTGCCCCAACATCATGGTATTACTTGTCAGGGTCTTTGGGAGACCATTAGGATTAGATGAGGTTATGGATGTGCAGCTCTTATGAGTAAGATAAGTGATTCTCCCCACCCATACAACCAGAAGCTGACAAACTGCAACCCCCAAAAGGACTGTCACCAGAACCTAACTGCCGGCACCTTGGTCTGTGAAAAATAAAATCCTATTGTTCATAAGCCACCCAGTTTATGGCATTTTGTTAGAGTAGCCTGAGCTGATTAAGATACTGGCTGAGCTATGAGACTTTAAGGCTGGTAACAAATTAATCACTTCTTAGAGGCCACCATCAATTCATTACCTATATAAGAAAGTTTAGCTAGATGAGAATTTCCAAGAGTACAGTCATTTTTGTACCACCTTCCTAATTTAAACTATATACTACTTACACTATGATTCACTTAATATTTTTTAAACCAATTTGCTTTTATTTCTGACAATTAAGAAAAGTTTATAACACTACTGTGGTTGGAAAACTAGTTACACTAGCGATAACTACTGGCAAAGACTCTCATCTTTAGCCAAACTTCAGTCAGGCTCCTGTGAGTCCTCTTTGTGACTGGCCCTGACTTTGGGCTCTATTTTGAGTCTAATGACTGTTCACTGAGTTCCAGTTTTAGCAAGAATCCTGCTGGGTCAGTTTGGTGAAAATCTCTCACCCTTGGCCTCTAACCACCCTTGATATGTGACCAAAATTCCTTATCTCCCAACCTTGTTATCTTAGCGCCCTTCAGTAATAATCCTGTTAAATCAGTGTAGCCAGATTCCCTTATGTCCTGGATGTTTTCTTTCAGTAATATCCTGTCCACTGATCCCACTGTGCTCCTTGGTACATATTTCTAGTTGTCCTGTTCTGTTCACAGTTGAGCCTTTCGCACTCCAAAAACCCAGTACAGTGGTCCAGACAGATACTTCCCTGGATACTCTCTCTTGAATAAAGACTTCCTTACTGTCCTTAACAAGTAACATGAATGATTTTTTTCTTTAACAATATAAATATAAATTCAACAAAATTCTCACCTTCAGGCCTGCCAGGATGGCCTTTTTCCTGACAAAGCAGTCAGTCTAAAAGGTTTCTTCCTTCGTTTATATTGTCCATAGAACAGTGGTTTTTCAAATTTTTTAATTATGGCCCTCAGGAATGAATATGTTTAGTATCATGACCCATTCATTGTGTATACACACAGAGCAAGTCATTTTTATTCTACCTGTTTACAAGATTGAGCACTGACCATGCAGATCAGACACTGCCAGGGTGTTCCAAGAGTATTCCATAGCCTCCCTGACACACAGTCCCCTGTGCTGCTGGGTAGAGAGCTCCAGGTGGCTCAACAATGTTGTGGGACAAGGAAGGGCCTTGGACACTAGTTTTCTGTGTACAAGATGCAGCTTTTAGAGTCACATCAGTGTACTTCTGCTTTGTAGAAGCAGAACGCTTATATTCCTAATTCCACAGCAGAACATGTCTAGGCTGTAGAATCTGGGATCCACATTGCTCTACACTCCTGCAGCAACTCTCCGTCTACATTTGGGGAAATGCTAGAATTTTTAGAATTCTAAAATTTTAGAATTTTTCACTGGTTTCTTTACATGTCTACAAAATATCTGCTGGACCCCACTTTCTAAAACCTGGCATTTTTCAGTCACCACTCAATCAACAAGTCTTAAATGCTACATACAATCATGCTAGAAGTGCTAATCCTTCCTCAGGGCAAGTCTGAGCTCCTGGAGGGCAGAGGTCATGACTTTCACCCCACAGTGCTAAGGAAGTTTGGATGAACTGGTACAAGCAGCTCCAGAAGTTACTTAGTGCAGTCTTTTGAGAGAAGGATCTTAGTCCCAGACATGACATGAATAAGAAAAAGGATCCTTTTATGAGTGTCTCCTTCCAAAGAACTATTTGCTGAAATAACTGTTGAGTTGCTTCATTTTACCTTTGGAAACTGTAGAATCTTTTTTTTTTTTTTTTTTTTTTTGGTGGTAGTGGGGTTTAAACTCAGGGATTCATGCTTGCTAGGCAGGCACTCCATCACTTGAGCCACTCCACCAGCCTCATTTTACCTCTGGGAAGCAGATAGCAGAAGGTTTGGAGAGGCCACAACCCACAGAAAGTTCCAAGTTTAACATCCCTCTTTGCCGCAAAGTACATTGACTGAGAATATAGTAAACCAGGAATCAGATACCAGACCAATGAACATATATAGCCCAAGTGGCTTCAGTAGTACGTGAAAGAGATCATGCATAGTTGGTACCATAAAAAAGCTCTGCTAGTGTACAAAATTACACTAAAAAAATAAGTTTCTAACCAATATTTTCAGGAAGGAAGCAGCATTTAAGATAATTGAGACCTAAATATGGAATATTTATATAAAAATAGGTGAAAGGTGACTGTGTATGTGGTTGGTAGGACTTTCAGTAGTTATAAATAATGTCTGTGACTGGTGTTATCAAATGTAACTGACACTGTCAACAAACAACAAACAAATACCAACAAACACTAAAACTGTTCGTGCTTGTCCAGCAAGAGTTGGTGGCACTGCTGTTTCTCTTATGCAAATAGCTCTCATGGCCTGTTAATGTACAGCTTCAGAACATTTCATGTGCTAGCTTTAAATGTGTAAAATGTATGACTTGGAACTACTAATATTTACTGTTAATATCAGAACACAATTAATAGCTCTTGCACAGTTATTAGGGCATAGTATAAACAGCACTTAGTCCAAATTTTAGATCAAGACAGGTATGTAAATGAGTACAATGTGACTTTTTGTGGCCATAGAACAAAAGATATTAGGTCAGTTTAAAAGTTGAAACACGGACAAATTAGTTTTCTTTAGACTATAGAGTCTATTGATTAAAACATAGAGCACAAACTGGGTGTGGTAGG